TCCTCTTTCCCTTTCCCCACCCAGACGGGGGCTGAGGGGGTTGCTTTAAAAGAGGCACAAAACATCAACAAGAGTCTCTCTGCACTCGGGGACGTCATCCAGGCCTTGCGGGCCCGTCAGGAGGGAGGGAGGAAAGGCGGGAAGGAGGACGGGGGCCCCGGACAACAGCACATCCCCTTCCGTAACTCCAAGCTCACGTACCTGTTGCAAGACGCCCTGGGGGCGGAGAACAAGTGTTTGATGGTCGTGTGTGTCTCCCCTGATGAGGAGGACAGCAGTGAATCCCTCTGTTCCCTCACCTTTGCGCAGCGTGTCCATGGCGTCATCCTGGGCGCCGCCAAGGCGCACGGCGGGAAGCTCGACACCCGCGCCCACAAGGAAGCTGTCCTGAAAGCGAAGGAAGAAACCAAGGCAGCAGAAGCTGCGAGAGCTCTCCTAGCAGAGGAGATGGCGAAATTGCAGGCAGAGCTGCACGAGACCCGGGAGGCCCAGGCGGCGGCCGAGCGAGAACAAGGACATATGGGCCTGGCCGTGGCCCATATGCAAGAGGCACACGGAGACCAAGCCACGCAATGGGCGGAGGAGAAGGAAAAATACGAACGGGCGTTGGAGGACGCGCATCGACAATGGCAGGCGGCCCGGCATGCGGCCCATCGCCTGAAAGAGGAGCATCATTTGGAACTGGAGCAGCAGAGAATGCACGTGGAGGAGCTGATGATCGAGAAGGGGAAACTCCAAGCCCAGCTAGCGGCAGCAACCTCGGCCCCACCCTCCCTTGCCCGGACAAATTTGACCAACACGACCCCGCGCCGTGTCCCCGTCGGGAAAGAGAAACGAGACACGATCCGAGAAGCGATCCATCCAGGAGCAGGTATACCAGCAGCAGCAGCCCCGGCCACAGCGGTAGCTGCTGCTGCTGTACGGGACCAAAGGGTTCTCAGAGAGAAAACGGGGCCAGGGGGTGAGACAAGTAACTGCCGCATGGGGCAGGAGCGAGGGGAGAAGAGCGAGCGCGAAGATTTGACGAAAGTCGTGCCTAGCGTGAAAATGGGAGGGGATAGCGCTCACGTCAAGAGTGTGGACGGCAGCAGCAGCGATGGCAGCAGCAATCACAGCACTGGCGTCAGGAATGACAGCCACAGCCACGAAACTACCGCCAACACGGACGGCGACAACCTCAAGAAGCGCGGCGGCACTGTATCTGACAGAGACCTCGCCGCTCCCTGCACGGAGGCTGATGCCAGCGACTCGACCTCGTTGAAGAGATCAAGGGCGGTGGCGGAGCCTGAAGGTAGCCCCGGGCCCACTCCTACGCAAAACTTGTCCTCCCCATCCGCAATCTTGTCTTCCCCGACCCCCTTCCGTCCTTGGGAATCCAATTCTGAGCGAAATATTGAGGCTGTGCCTGAGGCCTTGCCCACGAAACGCCAGAAGAAAGTCACTTTTATGATTCCATCCCCGGGCCCCCGCTTGCCCACAGAGGGGGACATCCTGGAAGGCGACCCGGACTTTGGACCTGCCAGGGAGGGCGAAAGGGAGGAGAATGGCCCAGACGGAGCCGAAGGCGGCGTCGAGGCCTCTTTCCAGCATCCGCACTACCGCACCACCCCTTTCAAAAAGCAGGAGGGGCCAGAGTTGCTGGCTCCCGCCACACTGGGACACCAAGTGGGCCACGGCCATCCGGCGACGAGCACGTCCAAATCGGTCCCGGCCCCGGCGACCAAGAACCCCCGGCCGTTGATGATGCACAGCAATGCTAGCTTCGGCAGCAACCACAATGCTCCCAACGGAGTGGCCGGTGGGAGTGGCTATGCGCCCCTCGGCATGCCGGCTCGGGTCATGCATCCCTCAGGGCCCACGTCGACTTCTTCAGGACCGACGAGCGCACTCTCCTCCGCGCCTATGCGGAAGGCAGCGGCGCGAGTCCCCTCTGTTCCCTCGTACAAGACCCTGGGGGGTGGAAGCAGTGGCACGGCCGCCGTGGGATGCAGTGTGGAGAGGACGAAGGAGCGAGTACTCTGGAGCAGCGGCAACGGCGTCAATACAGCGCCTGGCGCTGGCTCTACACGATTTAACGAGAACGCGGGCAAGGGGCATTCGGACGACAAGGGGAGTGGTGGAGGGCGATGGCGGTAGGAAAGACCCTGATGTTTCCTTATTCACGCGAATTTGTCGCGGGCAAAAGTAATTGATGCACAACTGAAAGAAATAAACGAATCACCGCTTTGCAGGGGAAGTGAGTACTCCTTATGCCTAGGTGCGAGCTACATGCCCAACACTTTTTGTGTTCGTGACGAGGGGTGGACCCCATCCTCTGGGCTCAAGGACAGGTCACGCCAAGCAGATGGGGGCTGTACCTAGCTTTCTTTCTCTTCTGTCGGAAATACTATTGAAAAATTTACATGCGTCCTCCCCACTTTTCCGGTGCTTTTGCGCATGCATCCGCCAAAGCCGCCTCGAACTCAACGGAATCAAGGACGTCGGGGGCAGGCACCAACTCTTTTGGCAACCATTGCAATGGCCCCTTGTACGTGCGACAGTCAGGATCATGGCAACGCTGGTACAAGCACCCCCGTCTTAAGTCCACGACAACCATCGTGTGGTTGCTTTTGTGGGCCCGGCCGATCCGGTGGCACCAACGGTTGCCGCCCACCTGAAAAGTCAGCATGCTGGACGGCAGGAAAGTCGGGGGTAGGGTCCCCTCTCCCTGGCGTGCCTGAGTCGGTGCAAGGGCCCCGCTGCGGCTGCTGTAGGCGTATTGCCAGCCACGAATCACACCCTGGACCCCGCCGTGAGCCATGTGGTGGGCCTGGACGTAGGCATCCAGCTCAGGGAAAGGGGAGGGCCTCCCAACCTCCTCGGCTTCGAAGGCCAGGTGGGAGGGCGCCGAGCGTCCCTTTCCGGCATCGCTGCCGTCGGAAGGTCGATAGCTTCCCCCGCCCAGTTTGTAATATGACGTCGGAGTGCTCGTCTCGGGGAGGATGATGAAATTGGAGGGAGGGAGGTGCCCGCAGGGAAGGTAGGGGACGACGAGGGAAGCCAGGAGCCACTCCTCGGGTGAGTTGGGAGGGGAGAAAGGAGGGGGGCATAAAGGACAGGAGCCATGAGGTAGAAAGCTCTGAAGACTCGCGGGCGTGACCTGAAAGGTGGCACTTTTTCCGAATTTTCGGGAGTAAAGGAGACGAAACGCCCGGTTTTTAGTGTACACCGAGGTGTCAATGGCTAAGATGTAGGTCGGGGGGCGGTCCGTGGGCAGGGAGGGAGGGAGGAAGGGAGGGAGGGAAGGAGGACGTGGCTCCAGCGGTTGCTTCCCTGGGCGCGTGTGCCCGGGTGCATTTTCCTCAGGCATGTCATGTGATGGCAGAGGCGTCAGCGGCGGTTGCTGCCAATGAAAGGTCCCACCGGGCCCTCCCCTCCCCTCTCGATGCTCCCTCCTTCCCCTCACAACGCCACCA